AAAGAAATTATACATAATCACGTTATATGGTATTCGTGAACTGGCTCTGCCGTTTCGTTGCCTTAAAGATGTTTTAAAAAACCTAGCGTGATTTCTACTGTATAAATTAGGCTCTGGTATTCGTGGACTGGCTCTGCCGTCTCGTTGTCTCTTAGTTAGGACATTAGAAACTAACCAGACAAAAGTTTATTATACCTCTATAAGAGGAACTTAACATATATTTTTATATCTACTTGTCTTTGTCGTTCTAAACCCTCGAACCATGCGACCCCGATGGAACCACAACATCAGGTTCACATTTTATACAAAAACCCAAGTCCCCATCTTATAATTTACTTTTATTTTTATTTTATTAATTTTTGTTATTTGAATTATAACAATTTAAAACCATTTACTGACGCTGAAATAGTGAAAAATGTTTTATAAATGCTTCGTCCTTACTATTTGATAGATTTAGCAATAAAAATCAAATAATATCGGAAATTAAAAAAATGCAGCATTCTGATTCTACTTGCATTAGGCGCATAGAAAATATTGCTAAACATATTTATAACCGTATTATTGAAGACTTAAAAAATTCTAAATTGTTTAGTTTAGCTTTTGATTCTAGCACTGATATTTCAGCCACATCACGATGTTCTATTTTTGTTAGGTATTGTACTGAACAAAATTCTATTAATGAAGATTTTTTGAAATTCATTCCAATGAAAAATCAAACAAGAGGCATCGGTTATCTCGATGTTATTAGTAATTTTCTTGACAACAATGATATCGATATTAAAAAATTGGTTTCTGTGTGCACCAACGGATGTCCATCGATGACCGGATGTGAAAAGGGGTTTATTTTNATCGATGACCGGATGTGTAAAGGGGTTTATTTCTTTATTGAAAAAAAAATATAATTTAACAAACACATTGTCTTTCCATTGTATTATTCACCAAGAAAACTTGGCAGCACGCATCTCTATTCAAGAAGTAGATTTAGTAATGAAAAACGTAGTAAAAATTGTGAATTATATTCGAGCAAATGAATTAAATCACAGAAAATTTAAAAGTCTTTTAGAAGAAATGAACAGTAATTACAGTGACGTTCTTTTACATACTTCAGTGCGTTGGCTTAGTAGAGGTAAAGTACTGGAAAGGTTTTTTGTTAACGATTAGAAATTACTACATTTTTGCAAAAAAACAACAAATTTGATGAAATTAAAAATTATAATTGGTGGTTCCTTTTAGTTTATATGTGTGATATCACAGAAAAACTTAATTAACTCAACCGCGGTTTACAGGGTGACAATAAAATTATTTCGCAGATGGAAAATAAAGTTTTTGCTTTTGAAGAGAAACTGGAAATCTATCAAAAGGAAATAGAAAACAAAATACTACATAATTTCCCTACCCTTTCCAAATTTATACATATGATGATATTATCATTTCTCAACCAAACACTATAATAATTTTAAATCATTTAGATGCCTTATCCAATGAATTTAAAAAAATATTTCAGGACTTAAGAAGTGTGAAAAATTGCTTTTTACTTGTAGAAAATCCTTGGCACTTAGAAGTTAGTAGTTTAACACAATTTGCTACATTAATTGTATCTGATATTTCAAAATTATTTGATGAATTTATTGAATTGAAAAATGATATAAATTTGAAAATTACTTTCAAAGAAAAAAGACAAAAAAAACAATACATAGAATTTTGGAATTTAACGCCAGGAAAATACAAAACCATACAAAAATGTGCTCACTTTTTGTTAATAATGTTCACATCAACATATTTATGTGAAACTTCATATTCTAAAATGAAATATGCAAAGAATATGTACAGAAATCGGCTTACTGATTCACATGTTGACGACTTGTTAAGAGTAGCATGCAATAAAAAACCAGATATATCCTAAATAATAAAGAATATATCTCAATATCAAAATTCACACTTGTATAAAATGATTATTTAATGTTTTATAATAAATTTTTAAATGTTCTATACATAATATATAAATGTATTTTTAGTTTTTTTTTTTAATCTCCTTTCCGTTTACTTTAACTTGCGGCCCGCGTATTATTTTAAAATATTTTATGTGGCCCAAATAAAAAAAAGGTTGAGTATGACTGGTCTAGTCTCAAGGCCCTAGACGACGGAAATGCGATAACATGTAGCGCTTGAAGAGTTACAAACATACATACATACATATATGTGGGAAATGTAGACAGGCAATTACAGGAACAGAGCGAAGACGCAATACTATTATTTAATTTATATATATATATACATAAATTAATACACAAAAACTCTATTAAATGTTAACAAACAAAAATAACACATATATTTAATTACACACGAAAACTCTATATAAAATATTCATACAACACAAAAATATTATATAAAACAGAATACACTTATAAACTAAAAAATATACATAGAGACACGTCTTAGCCGACTCACGACTTGACTTAATCTCCCTCTATATACTTGATACCACTATCTATATTCAGACCCTGGAAGTGGTGCTATCTACATACCAATGGCACCCACATATATACATACAGGTGAAACTAATATAAGCGTGTTAAAAATGGTATATTTTTTTTATAAATCTGAACCTTTATCTGCCCATAGTGGGGGATTCAAAAAGACAACTTTTTTACAAAAAATTTATTTATTTAACTTAAATTTTGAAAGTTAACCAGAAAGTCGGACACTTTTATATATATATTAAATTAAAGCTAATGTAATATACTTTGTTATTAAGTAAATTTTCCGGTTGAATTAGTTGAGTAATATTATTTGATTTAAAAGCTTTTTTTTTTTTTTTTTTGAGATATGAAAACCCATAACGTGATGGCGTCAAACGAACCTCATATTTGAACACATTCACTCCAAAGATATAAAGTAAACATGGTCTGTTTGCTAACACTATTCTTTCGATTTTTTTTTGTGTTATCGTTAAGAAAAGGGGTATTGATAGGTTATAAAATGACCATAAATGTTTGAAAATTATTTGAAAATTAATTAAATTAAATTTGAGAATTGAGATCGTCTAGTTATATAATATTTTTTTCGTTACAGCTTGATAAATTAACAACAGATCTCTCATTAGTACTAATCACGGAGATCAATTATCAACACTCTAGTTTCGCCTGTATAAGTAAAGTAAATTGTTAAAAAGTTCTTCCATACAAGGTGATCAATACTTATAATGTAAAATTAGAAACTAGGTTAACATTTGTAGCCAATTTAGGTGCCATTTATTTTTCTGAAACTTAATAGTTAGAAATTAATTTTTTTTTTTAAATTAATAGTTGAAGAAGAGTAGCTAAGATTCCAGTCATTCAAAAAATAATCAGTTTCTGGTTATTGAATTTGATACATCATAAATAAATTTTTATAAATGTGAAAGGTTACAAATATAAAAAAAAAATGGAATTAATTGGCCGCAACGAAAAATATGTAACTTTCATGGCGCATTGAAAAATGAACAAGAAAAGGGTCGCCAACCTACTGGGCGAGACAATGTATTGTCGGACCACAGTAGGATTTTAAAGAGAAATTAAATTTTGTATATTAAAACAGTTAAAAAAAAAATTAAATTAATAAAGATTAAAGTTGATGTGCTTTGAGTCGTTGATAGTAGATGTACACCAAAACCTCGTGACAGTTGTCACATAACCATAATAATGAGGGATAACCTTGTACAAGACCGTTGCCCGTGCCTTATAAACTAAGGGGAGTTGATTTTTGAAAGGAAAAAAAATGAAAAAATACACGAGTCCATTGAAGATGGAACACGCAAAGAAAATAAGATGATAGTTAAGTGAAATTAAGTGGACTTTATTAAAAAAAAAAAAACAAAAAAATTAAGTTAATACGAGGCAAAAAACCGAACGGTCAAAAACCCTCGTTTACAAATTAAAGGGGACACAGAGAGAAAAAAAACAGATATTAATAAAAAAAATACTAGTTACACCTACACTTTTATTATTAGATAATACGATGAACGTCTTCGGGTACCCACAGGCTATTAATTGCGTCATTACCACTAAGCACGGTGGGTATACGCCCCAAGTAGGCGACTGGTTTTAGGCAGTTAGGCTTGCAAGACGTTGGGACACACCGGAATAAAATGCACTACGTCACCACATTGTACCAATAATACATACATACATCTATGCGTCACCCAATATCATGTCATATAAATCCTATACAAAAAAAATCACAAAAAATATAGATATAACATGACAATTGGCCTCGTAACACGCCTGCCATGTTGAGGGACCTAAATAATAAAAAAAAGAAGGGCACCTAAAAAAGAATGTAATAAAAAAAAATTCACCACACGTGCTTATGGCACGGCGCACTAATAATAAAAAAACAAATTCCGGCTCAAAACATTAAAACAAAACTTATACGTTACCAGCCGCCCCTAAGGGCTAAAGATACTGGAGGCAGGTTTAACCGACGCCAATAAAAAAAATTACATTATACAAATTATAGTAGCGGATACTCACGAAAAAAATATATATAAAATTAAAATGTTGCAGCGCACACAACAACAAAAAACTCACGCTACGGACGAAAATTAGCGAACTAGTTCCGACGGATGTCTAATTTCCGACAAAACGTCCGGAAGTCCGTTGGCAACAACACGGCTAGCCTTTAGAGTAGGGGTCAAAAAAAACTAAATACCGGAGTAACTAAAGTGCCGGAAATGATTAAGAACAATTTAAATCATAAGGCGACAATGTATGCGGTGAGCAGTGCAAATGACGTTCAAAATAGGAAAGGAGATGAGTAAATGTACACACAAATGCCGTCCATGAACCGGTCCGAAGTAGTACACAGCTGACTATCTCGCGCTCGGCTCAACACAAATATATATAGAAATAGACAAAAAAATAAGTAGATACTTTTTGTCACGTTACAAACGTTTTCAAATTTTTAACTCTAGGAAATTTTAAGGAAACTAAAGTTTTTAATTTAAGATATCAACACGTGCGATTTTGAAAGGCCATTTATTGAAATATTTTTAATATTACAGTTTTAAATTTATTTTTAATTTTAATTAATATTAAACACAAGTGATACATTTTTATTATATGATACATATTTTCACTAAACATTACATCAAACATACATTAATGTAAATCAATATAAATATTTATGAAAAAATAAATATGAAAAAAATTATTTTAATGGAGTGTTACTATATTTTTATAAACTAAGAATAGATGTTACTTTGTTATTTTTTTTTCCCATTTTTGTGTATTCTGATTATAAGTCAAAACAAAAGATTTATATCCTTTATAATCATCGCCAAATCCTGCTATCATTTCTAAAACGAAATAAAATAGTAATATTATTATCAATACACGAGTAGTTAGAATTCTCAAAAATAAATAATGCCAACAAAAATTATAGAAGTTATCCGGATAAATCGGCGAGCATAATTCCCATTGGAAATCTTTAAATGCTAGAACAGTAATTTCAATATATTTAACCGCAAAATATTTCAAGTACCCTATTAAAAAAAATTTGTATTCCTAAATTAATTTTTTTCTCTTAAAATGCTAAACTCGGTAAGTTATCCTAACCAAATTGTAAGTTGACATTTTATAATAGTAAGCTGACAAATATATAAAAAAACGTATTTTTTTTTTTAATTTTTGTCAATAAGTAAAGTATAAGTAATAAAATATGTTAAGTAAAAAATATACTTGATTAGTTTGTAGGAACAGTTTATTATTTATGAAAATTGAATTATCACAACATAAAAAAAAATGTATTTCAATTAATATAACACTACCCTAAACATATTAAATCAAATTTAAATTAAAACATAAATTAAAAAATAAAGCAATAATGATAAAATTTTAGGAATAATTCATAACATGCAGCATTTATTATTGCAATATTGTAAAATATATAATAAAAATAATTAACAGTGTTATTTTTTAACGACAGTCACACAAGTTTTTTTTAAATAATAATTATGTTAAGAAAATTATTTTTAGTTTTTTTGTGTTAAATTAAAAAGTATCCGTAACGCCATGCTAAATTTTTATTCGTTAGTCAGATATTAATCACAACTCATTAATAAGTTATTAAGTTTCGTTAACTTATTCAGGTCATTCCTACATGGTAAAAAATAAGTGTCGTATATTTTTCGATTTATCCAGTTGTTAATTACTTTATAGAATCATCTTTTATAATTATTAGCGTTTTCGACTTTATTTTTTAAATAGCAAAATATATATTTGACTAGTTTGTTGACCAACAGGAAATATTAAAATTAAGAAAATGACAGGTCGACAACAACATTTAGGGCAGTAGGGCGAAAGTGATTAACATTTTTATTCCTAAGCAGGAGGAGAATTGCGGCCGAGGAATATCTAACTATAAACTTTGACGTATTTTGTTGTGTCTGGCAACACTGCTTGCACTACTGCGCACAGTAGTGATTTGATTGCGCTACCCACCGGGACAAGTAAAGGTTTACTGAGCGTTTTATTATATTTATTTTCGTCAACATTGTTAGCCCTTGCTACGTGGTTTTATGGTTCATCTTAGGCCATAGTCGTTTCTATTGACTAATCACCATTGTGATTCGCTGGGTTTTATTGATTCCACGCCCATGTGCATATCGTGTATACAATTCGGCACACTACATTGGTCGATTCAATAGCAGACAAGATCCGTCCATTAATATCGATACTGTAATTCAGTCTGCCATTCTGTAAATCGCCAGCCATCAAAGTCGATAGATAGATATAAATAAATGAAGTGGTGATTGTCCCTATATAATTATATTGTTTTTTCATATATTGTGCCTTGTATCATTTAGTGAACTCCACCATTACCGATTATATAATAATTTTTATTTGTATTTATTTTAATACATATGCCTTATTATTTTATTTTCTGCTAGTGTAAGTACTATTTTCAATTTATTATACAGACCGCCTTTATTTTACAAAAAACCGCGCACATAATTGCACCTAACCCGAAGTATAAACCGGGCGGTCGATTATACATTATATTTATAAATGGTAATATCTTCCAAAATACAAGTCAGACCAGTCAATTTTCTAGATAGATCATTTTTTTTTTTTCATAAATTATCTAAATATAAAGTTGCTATTTAATTAAATAAAGTTGACACGCTCATAAGTTATAAGGGATGGATTAAAAAAGTAATTAATAACTGATAAATCAAGAAATATATGAAACTAAAAATACCAAAAATTGATTTCTTAATATAATTATTAATTTAAGAGAAATCATGTGGCTATTGTTAACTAGTAAGAATCACCGTCCATTATAATGTACTCCTGACTTTCCAACTTACCCAGGTCATCCCTACATGCTTAAATACATACGCATGGTTAATCCAGTATACAGACTTTAATTAATATATAATAACAATGGTTCATATTTGTAATATTCTTAAGGAAAAATTATTAAGTATTTAGTAATACGATATTCAAATATTATCATCAAAAAAACGGATTAGTATGTTTGAAAACGTTTACATTAGTCAAATAGTGTTAAATGTTATAATATATACACCACTCATTATTCGATAATCTATATATCATTTTCCATTAGTCATCAAATTAAATATATATTATACATGTCAATCTATTAAACTATTCTGAGAAAAATGTATTGTAAATGTATATATATATAAAAATCTAATGTAAGGAATTCTTTAGTTGTGATAAATCATATATTTTAAGTAAAATAATATGTGATAACTAACACAATCGAGTAATTAAGAGATAATAGTAATAGGCCATGACACTTCATGCACATATAGATAAATTAAATTTAATATAAAAGTGCACAAAAACTGTCACCTGGTCTCACTTGTTGTTCACTTTATGATCTTTCAACAATTGCAAAAAGGGCCTTTACATACATTATAAACTCAAAAAAAAGTCAAAGTATACATATTATAAACCTTGCTTCCAACATCACGAAAGTAAACTTATATTTCTCAGAAGATTTATAAGGTTTAGAGTTAAGTATAATGAGTACATAAATTAAATAGAGAATCAGAAAAATTAAGTGATCACTAAAATATAGTATTGTTTAAATAAATAAAATCGATAACGTTTGTACGAAGTTAACCAGTCTCATCCAATTTTTGAGTGAGTTACCTGTGTGGACAATAGAATTAAAGACTCTTTTGCAATGATAGAGAAACAACTTGTGGTTTCTATACAACTCGAGGAATTTATTGACACGACTTAGCACAAGCTGAGATAACTACTAGTACGTGTAGCGTTATTGGTAGTGTGATAATTAATCACAATAATTTCTATGTCAAATTATTATTATATTAATAAATTATCAAACATCACTTTGTTTTTCTATATTTTACATCTTCTCATAAGACCCTTGTACTCATACCCTCAGAGAAAATTTTATTATATCATGTAATTCAATAAATACAAATTAACTCAATTATTCTTATGTTCATATAATACAACCATACATCTTTTTGATTCACTATATAAAAATAAAAATTAATGTAATAATAAATACTTCTTGTCCTTTTTTCTAATAAAAACATCATAAAAATGCCTTTTTAAATTAATTTTAATTATAAATTATTTTTTAAAATTAAAAATATATTTAAAATATTATTGATCAATTTTTATTATATATAAATTATTAATTTTCAGGAAAAAAATTATTTAACACAATAATCAAACGGCTTAAAATAAACATAAATTGGAATTGTTAAAAAATTGTATAAATATTTTTATTAATTTAAAAAATGTTATAATGATTACCTTTGTAATTACATTGATTTTGATCATTTGTATACTTTGTGATTATGTTGTTAATGCGATTTCTAAACAATGGACTTTTGAAAAAAATTCTACCTGCTTCTTCTTTAGAAATACTGTCATTCGAATTTTTTAAGGCGGACTCAATATAATTTTTGTCTTTTTTTGAATTAGACAATTTTAGAAAATCTGTCATAATTGCATAACCTAAGGAAATGCCAACAATTTCTGTTTTATAAAGAAATAGTATTTCGCTTCTGAACAAATAATTAGAAAAAAAATAAAAATCCAATATTTAAATCATCCGTTTAAAATAGGACTTATTTCCAATTTTCTCATACAAAACTTTATATTATGTTGAATAAAAATAAACAATTTTTTCATTGCCTATTATTATGATATGAAAATTTTTTATAGAAAAATAAAAATTTTATTTTTAGAATTTATTTAAATACATTAAATTATATTGAATCAAAAGATGTTAGAGTATTTCTAACAATAAAGTATGAACTTTAATAAGTTATACGCTGCATAACTCAATATTACTACACATCGGGTGGGAATAAGAAAAACAATTGCAGTATTTAAAACTAAAAGGTTTTACATTAAGTTTTTACAAAAGTGACATCGTTGGTTATTATTTAAAATTATTTACTTACTTTATTTACTTTAATTNTGACATCGTTGGTTATTATTTAAAATTATTTACTTACTTTATTTACTTTAATTAACTTTTGTATTCAAAAATTATTTAATAATCAATAATAATTTAAAAAAAAATTTACAGTGTAATTATAATTATACTGTATATTTTAATACATTTTAAATAAAGTTATGATAATTACTTTTGTATTTAAATTGATTTTCATTTTTTGTATATTTTGTAAATATCTCATTAATGTCTTCTTTAAGTAACATACAAAGCAATTCGTTATTAAAAAAAATGTCATATGCTTCTTCTTTTTTGACAGTGTCGTTTTTATTTATATCATTAATTTGGAAAAATTCATTGAAGTCTTGTTCGCTTAACATGAAACTTTGAAATATTATTTTAAATTCTGATGATAATGTTTTGTCTAAAAAAGTAAACATTTCTGTTAAATAGAGCATAAACTAACACTATTTCGCTTTTTAAAAAATTTAAGAATAATTATACTAAAATCTCAATATCTAACTTTTTGGTCATCCTGTTGATATAAGACTTATTTTCAATTTTTTACTAATTTTAAACTAATTCACGAAGGAAAATTTTTTTTTAAAGATTATTTGTACATTTTTAAAATTTATTACATTATAGTGTGACAACCTTAATTAGATATTGATTATTAACCAATTAAAACTTTTATTGCTTATTCTTCATTGAAATGAAAGATAATAATTTTAATTTATTTTAATTTTCAAATAACTACTTCAAAACCACACTAAAAAGTCATTTTATCACTCATAACCATTCTATGTTAAATAATAATAAATGCATTTTTTGACTGTATACAATTATAGAAAATCATTACTCATGGTAAACTAAAAATGTATTATTTTTTAGAATTCATTGAAATATCTGATACATATATTAAATTATTCGACTCAAAAAATGAAAACTAGAAAATTCTGTCAAGTTTTTTCAAAAGTGGATATGTTTGATTACTATTTAAAATTATTTAGCCTTTTATAATTTTCTGTAGAAATGAATTAATTTGAGTAATTATTTAATGAGATATAAAGAATCATAAGATTCTATGCATTTAAAAATAAATATAAAGAATAATTGTTTTCTAAATAGAAATGTTGTTTTTAAAAATTACATAAAAATCAGACAATTCTGCATTCAAATGTGTTGACAGTTGTCCAATTATATATAATAATAATTTTACTCTGAAAATAAATTACTGTTATCAAATGTTAATCAGCAACTCTATATAATAACATTGTAAAGTCTAGCGTTTATATAAATTTATAAAATAAAATTTTTATTCAAAATTGATATACATATAATAAATATACCAAGTGCTTCTAATATTCTAGTAAGTCGTA